TTATAATTATATTATATAATACTTAAACATTTACAATATATTATATATAATTACATATTTTTATTACGAGTTTGGGCCCAACCTAAGATGGGCTTGAAATGCTAATGTAGTTTTGAGATAAACATGAACCTCATAATACAAACTCGAAATCTAGGAGGCTGAAAGCTCTATTTCTTTTTTGACTGAGTTTAGATTTAGATTTGAGCGCAAATGTTTGATAAATAAAGCTCGTAGGCATCGAAGTTTATTATTTTGAAGTTTGAGATCAATTTATTATTCAAATAACGCGAACTCGAACTCAAATTCGACCTAGAGTCCAGAGTCCACCACCAACCAGCACAGTTCATTTAGGCCCGTACATTTTACTCGACCTTTGGGACTTCGAAAGTGAGAAACGTTCTTAACGACCTTTTATTTTGCGAAAAGAGACAGCACTGGTGGGGCTCGATTTCTCAAGTTGGTCAAACCCGAGTTTATGACGCCAGTTGACTAATCTCGTCCCCTATTTGACTAAGAAAAAGATTACGCTGATCTAGTGCGAAACTCATTTTTTATTCTCGTAGCACGAGTCGGCAAAAGTTGGCGCGATTCGTGGCCGAGCCCCCGTCTCTAATCTTAGCCAACCCGTCAATTTGGGCAACCACAAAAGGTATAAAAACAATCGCTTCTGGAAGCATTTTTCTCCGTGTGTGTGCGTGTGTTTTATTTTTATTATTTTGTTGAAAAACTAATAAGTCGAAGATGCATTTTCCGTTCTGGGATTCTGGCACTGTATCACTAAATAGCTCTTAAGCTCAGCTGCTTCCGCTGTCAATATTGCTGCAGATGTTATATGAAGGAGGAAAAGAAAAATTTGTAAAAATTCTTTTTAATTAATAATGCTGGAGATTTTATATCATTCTAGGATACTGGTAATAAAGGATTGGGATAATTTCAAAAACCTCCCCTTAGATTTCTAACAATTTTACTGAGCTCTTCTGAGATTTGAAAAATTACACCTACCTTCCTTGATTTGATAGTTTTAGTAACAAAACCTTAAAATAATATTGACTTGGTTACATTTTTAAATAAATACTCAAAAAATGCCTTTGTGTAGTGAGTTTTAATTTACTTTCATATCCAATTATAAGATTATCTAGTGTAATTATAAGGAAAAGATGCCAAAATTTTCATGTACATACCTACTATTTGCTAAACAACTATAATAATAATTTTATCACTATGATAGGATACTTTTTATGGTATTTTATTATGAATTTAGATTTATAAGATAGAAAAGAAAATGTCAAAATAATTGATTTAGAGCTTATGAATTTTTTGAGTAGTGGGATTATCATAATTTAGTAGTGATTGTGGGCCATTTCTTTTTGATTTATTGTTAATTTTAATACTAAAAAATAGAAAACAAAGATTAGCAAAAAAATTGGATTACGTATAAAGTTAACTCATAAAAAAAATCACTAATTCAACATTTGGTTACAATAGAAACTAGAGATAATAGTGGTAGTTCTACAGTTTTATTGGCAAAAAATTAAAATAAAAAAGAATAAGAAGTAAGAGAATGAAAAAAATAATTTTAAAAGCCATTCTAAGTATAAGTATATCAAACAAGGGAATTGCATTAAAATATTTAAGGGTTGTATTGTCATTTTAAATGATAAAGGAGGTATGTGTAATTTTAAAAATCTCGAGGGAGCTGAATGAAATTGTTAAAAACCTCAAGGGAGGTTTCTGAAATTATCCCTAAAGGATTTTGTGTAATGTGATTGTGGCCGGGGATTCAGGGAGGGTAAAACACTTAACACCTAATTATTGAACGCGGCAAGATTAAGCTTCCTAAAATGTGATATCAAGTTGTTGCACTTGTAGCGACTATTTGATTACTTGTTGGACCCATCCACTTAAATAAGATAATACCTAAAAATATGAAAGTAAGTTTCCCATCTAAAATAGTAAATTAACCTTAATAGATTAGTAATTTTTATACCTCAAAAGGTAAATTGAAATAAAGATTAAACTTACTTTTTAAATAAATAAATTACTACTTCATATCCCAAACTTACTTTTTAGAGAGTAAGTTTAGTTCAAATAACAGTAAGTTTTTATACATAAATAGTAATTATTGCTAATGACATGGTAAATTTGATTAATGATCAAAACTTACTGATTTTTGGAATACATGTACAATTTTACATTAAAAAATTATCTCAAACTAGTATTGGAAGTTTATTTGAAATAATGATAAGATGTTTCATTAATGATTAAAACTTAGTACCTTAGTTAGTAAGTACTCATAATATACCTATATAATAAATGATTATAGGTATAATTTAATTTTTATTATTTATATATTTTAAAATACGATGAAAAGTAGTTTCACTTTTCAGATAACCTTGTAAAATATCTAATAAAATTTTGTCATATTATAAATTTTTAATCATTTTCAATTTTTGAAAAGTTTGAAAGTTTGGATAACAATAATAACAAATCTTCCTAGTTATATATAGAATATCACTTGTTTATATATCACAATTTTTATAATTTAACACCTATGGATATAATAAGATAATAAAGTTTTAATAAATTTACATCTGGGACACAAGAATTAATAAGAATTAAAGCCCAAACAAAATGAGAAATAGTATAACAATAAAAATGACAAAATTAGTATAACAGTTAAATAAGAAAATCAGTATGATCTGGACTTTTTTCCTTAGGAGATTGTTCATAAAAATAAGATCCAATAATTAAATGAAAATCACTTGCACATATAATACAAGTTTAATTCTTATTATTTCTTGTGTCCCAGACAATAAATATATCAAAACTTTATCATCTTATTATATTAATAGGTCTTAAATTATATAAATTACATTGATAAGTGATATTCCATATATAACAAGGAAGTTGTGTTGTTATTATTATCCAAACTTTTAAACTTTTCAAAAATTATTCAAAATTATAATATGACAAAATTTTATTATTTTATAAGGTTATGTGAAAGGTTAAAATATTTTTCATAGTATTTTAAAATATATAAATACAAAAAATTTTAAATTATACATATAATCATGTATTATACAAGTATATTACGAGTACTTACTAACTAAGGTACTAAGTTTTAATCATTAATGAAACATTTTATTGTTATTTCAAATAAACTTCCTAGTATTGGTTTGGTATAAGTTTTTAAAGCAAAATAGTACATTTGTGCTCTAAATTAGTAAGTTTTGGTCATTAATCAAATTTTCTATATTATAAGTAAGAATTACTATTTATGTATAAAAACTTACTATTACTTGAACTAAACTTACTCTCTCAAAAGTATGTTTGGAATATAAAATAGTAATTTATCTCTTTAAAAAGTAAGTTTCATATTTATTCCAATTTATCTTTTGAGACACAAAAGTTACTAATTATCACGATTAACTTACTATTTTAGATGAGAAACTTACTTTCTTATTTTTAGACATTATTCTATTTAGGTGGATAGGTCCAATAGGTAATCAAATGGTCACTAAAAGTATAATAACCTGTTATATCAGGTAACAACTATTTAGTTACCATAACGATAGTTACTACAGCATTTTCCTATGAAACATATTGAAAGAGATTGAAGTGGGAATGATGGGAATTAGTTGTAAAGACGATTTGATTAGTGAAGGGTAGTTTTGGCTTTCACTTCGCAACTGCTTAATGGTGCATGGACAAATTAACAACTAATAATGGTATTCGTTTTTTTTTTTTGGGGCGGGGGGGGGGGGGGGGGGTTCATTTAGAGCATGGGGCGCTATTAATGAATTTTGTAACAAATCTTGAATGTTAATTACTACAACTACATGCTTACTCATTCACCATAAGTTCAATTTATTACTTTTTTGAATAAAGATTACAACGAATCTCTGGGAGAAACAGTAAGAGATTAGCAACAATGCATTATCGGTTAAAGAAGAAATTAGTAAGACATGGGTGCTGCAAAGTTTACCTGATAAGGAGATTAATCCCTTGAGTCGAGTCAAATAAACGCCAGAGTGTGAACTCTTGTTAGTCCCATTACAATACCTTCGACCTCACGAATAAATGATTACAAAGTTTATAACAATGTGCTGAGACACGTGTGAACATTATTTTATACTGCGCCAACCGGCGGACCAGCTTTCATCCTTGTATAACTTAATGGTACTATATGTTAGTGACAATCTCCAAATTAGACTTGAGGTACAGACGGCTGTCAAGTTGTTGTTGATTTTTGTTCAATTTCACAAGATCTACATTTATTTTTTCAGAATGTAACTCGCTTTGAATCCAAAATAAATTTTTGTGGATCTTATACATGACGTTAAAAATGATGTACATATGCAGTAATCTATTGTACTTGGTGAATTGTAGATCTTATTTATTATTTTTAGTACACATTCAATTTAATGTAAATCAAATCATGTTGAACGATTTTAAGTAATTCATTAATAAAATTTACTTTTATGCTAAAAGAAAAACATGTATCGATGTGTAATCTCAAGAGTAGAGACTGGACATTACACCAAATCCGATCGCGATCGCAATCGCAAATGTTGCCGACGACACACTAAGCAATCTTATGCACACCAAAAACTCGTGAGAAAAAGACATCCTTGAGTGCCCTGCAACAATGACCAGGTGCCTATAAGATACTGACGTCACAGGATGGTATTCTAGTTTGTCTCGCTATAATTAATTTCTTAAAAAAAGAACGGCTGCAGTATAAATAAATTCTTTTCTATTTGACATAAGAGATGGCTAGGCTCCCTCAAAGATTAACTACCAATTTATATCAATTTGTCCTTTGTTCATTTATTGACCAGAATTATTTCTTCTGTTGTTCTCCTGAGTGGGAAAGGAGAATTTTCGGAAAATGACACTTGATCTTTGTTTTCTGAGCATGTTTTTAGAAAAGCAGATGAAATATTGGAAATCAAACTTTACCTAACAACATCGCAGTTTTTCGCTGGATTGATGTCTAAGGCCTGTCCCAGTGGGCTAGTCAACTAGGAATCTTCAACAATGTGTTTCAGCTTCCAGGTCAATCTTTGTAACTCGTTATAAAATTCCCCTAAAGCTCCTGCCGGGGAGGCCTGCACAAAAACCGCTTTCTTGATTCTACTGGCACGTATACAATATCTGATTCTTTAAACTGGTTTGATTTCTTTATACATGTATGTCAGTAACAATCCAGGCTCCGAAATGGGACAGGATTTCAGGAGGTTCAGACATGTCTACTTCTGGTGTTACTTGTGCATGATTTATTGCTTCTGTTTTCTTGGCTTTTCTACTGACAGGATTTCATCAGGGCATCCAGTCAAAGATGGAGATGTGATTGTTTCTGCTGGCAAGAAGTTTGCCTTGGGGTTCTTCCGCTCCGGAAATCCAGATTTAAGGTATGTTGGCATATGGTTTTACGGAATTCCAGAACAGACAATTGTATGGGTTGCAAATAGAGACAAGCCTATTCATGGTCTTGGAGGAACTTTGACCGTGGGAAATCATGGTAATTTAGCCATTTTGGATGCTAATGGTGATTCGATCTGGTCGACAAATGTTCCAGCTGCATCAAGAAATTCTACTGCAATTCTTGAAGATTCTGGTAATCTAATTCTGTGGACTAATCACAGGAAGCTTTCGTGGCAGAGTTTTGATAATCCAACAGACACTTTTTTGCCTGATATGCAATTCTACTTTAATGTCTCAGCTGGGGAGAACCGTTTTTTCACTTCTTGGAGAAGTGCGAATGATCCTTCGCTCGGCAATTACTCAATGGGCATTGATCCTCGTGGATCGCCACAAATACTAATATGGGAAGGAAGGAACCGGCATTGGAGAAGTGGGTACTGGAATGGACTGATATTCACCGGTATTCCGAGTATGACGGCTATCTACTTGTATGGCTTTAAGCTTATCAACGAGGGGAATGGGAGGTTGCATCTCACTTATACCCCGTCTAATAGTTCAGACTTGATAAAATTCCAGCTACTCTGGAATGGCACTGAGGAGCAAAGAACTTGGGATACTGGTTTGAAGGAGTGGAGTTTAATACAATTACAGCCAGTAAATCAGTGCGAGCTGTACAACAGGTGTGGACCATTCGGGGTTTGTGATGTTATGAATTCACCGATATGCACTTGTTTGAAAGGGTACGTGCCTAAGGACAATGATCAGTGGAACATTGGGAATTGGTCAGGTGGATGCATTAGGAGGACACAGCTACAATGTGAGACAAAGGGGGGGCGAGGAGTGGGGGAAAGTGGGGAAAAAGATGGATTTCTAGAAGTTGAGGATTTAAAATTGCCAGACTTCGTAGATTATGTGGGTTCAGAAAATGTTCAAGAATGTCGAAATAAGTGTTTGCATAATTGTTCATGCATTGCCTTCTCCTTTGCAAGCGGTATCAGCTGCATGATTTGGAGCAAAGACTTGGTTGACATTCAGCAGTTTCAGTATGGAGCGAACACTGTGTTTCTCCGTCTTGCTCATTCTGAGCTAGGTAATGTTTCCAATCAATTTCACTAGCACAATATGCAGAAATTTTCTTCGCTGTTTACAATTTTAGGCTTTTCTTAAGACATTTTGTAATTAGGATACGCTGCCTAAATCCTCAACTCATTGATGTGAAAAATGGTTAAACTCAAACTTTTTTCAAAGGGAAGAGTGGTATTTGTCCCTTTCCAGGGTCTTGGCCTGCTCTTATCCCAGATTTTGATTCTAAAAGTCATCCGTTTTATAGAAAATATGTTGCCAAAGTGGTGACATAAATGTTAACATGTCTATCAGGTTTAAACAAGTGGTGGAGATAGCAGAATGTCGTATAGACAACAGGATTCATTAATAGTTTATAAATTTGCAAGACATTCAATGATCCTCCAACATTACTTTTTTGTTGGTCATTATCAGAGGGAAGCAAGCACATGGAATAAGAATCCAAGTCATGAATGAGTATTCAAGATCAAATAGCGATCCGTCTGAAATTTTTGAAATTTAAGAGACAATAAGTAACACAAGATTTCACGTAAAAACTCAGTCAAATTCTGCTTGAATGGACCTCTTTTGAAAACAGGTGGCACGAGAAAGGTAACAAAATTACTTATAGTAGCAACTGTTATGGTGGGAGTGCTCTTTCTGGGTCTGTCAATCTGGCTGCTTTGGAGGCGCAAAGACAAACTGCAAGGTTTATTCCCTAAAAGCTAATCACTCAGGTTACATGGCTTTATCACCCATAACAGTCATATGACATTTTGGTGTCTGCATAATTATCTTTGATATTCAACTGCAGAAGTTTTCAAATCATCGAAGCAGAGGGAGAGATTTCCAGAAACTCATCCAATCCAGAGTGGAGAACTTTCAAGGGATTTTTCAGGACCGGATGATCTTAGCGTCGAAGGGCAGGAATGTTCTGGGAAAGAATTAACGTATTTCACTTTCAGTAGTGTGTCAGCAGCTACAAACAATTTTTCAGACATAAACAAGCTAGGACAAGGAGGATTTGGCCATGTCTATAAAGTATAGTGCTTGCCACATTAGATATCTTATATTAGATTGTGACTAGAGATATGAAAGTATCTTGTATCTTGTCTTGATTAAACATGCTTATTCTTCCGCTTACATTCAGGGCAAGCTACCAGGGGGCCAAGATATTGCTGTCAAGAGGCTTTCAAGAAAATCTGGACAAGGGTTGGAGGAATTCAAGAATGAGGTCATGCTAATTGCCAGGTTACAGCACAGAAATCTTGTTAGACTTTTGGGCTGCTGCATTGAAGGAGAGGAGAAAATTCTACTTTACGAGTACATGCCCAACAAAAGCCTAGACTCGTTTCTTTTTGGTAAGTGGTCTAGTTTCCTGTTGGTTGCTTAAGTCTTCATCTATAAACCATTTATTAATTCTGCAATGGATATTCTTTTCAATATTATGAAAGTACTTGTAAATGCCTACCTTTACACCGTCAAGTACATGTATTTGATATTTATGTCAACGACTTCTTGGTTTCATGCACAAATGTACATCAGACCCTGTAAAACAAAATCAACTAGACTGGAGAACTCGTTTCCTCATAATTGAAGGCATTGCAAGAGGTCTCCTGTATCTTCATCGAGATTCAAGACTCAGAATAATTCACAGGGACTTAAAGGCCAGCAATATTTTGTTGGATGGAGAAATGAATCCAAAGATTTCAGATTTTGGCATGGCCAGAATATTTGGAGGGAACCAAAATGAAGCAAACACAAACAGGGTTGTGGGAACATAGTAAGTACAAACACTTCCATCCATCGTTTTCCTTATTAGAAATGATATTGGTCTTACTTGAAACCTCTTGCTTTCGATTAAGTGGCTACATGGCTCCTGAATATGCGATGGAAGGTCTTTTTTCAGTGAAGTCTGATGTCTACAGCTTTGGCATATTGCTTTTAGAGATTGTAAGTGGCCGGAGAAACACCAGCTTCCGTTCAGCTGAGCACTCAAATATCATCGGATATGTAAGCCTGTACCATATTCTCTGTCTTGAACAATTGATCCTCAGGGTTATAATAATAATAATTAGTAGTGTGGAAATCTGATTAGAGGCCTATCCTTTTTCACTTCTGTATTGTTCCAGGCATGGGATCTTTGGGACAGGGGCAGGGCAATAGACCTGCTGGATCCTTCAATCGCAGATACATGTTCCCCTAATGAAGTGTTCAGATGCATCCATATAGGCATGCTCTGTGTCCAAGATTCAGCATCTCATAGACCAACTATGTCAGCTGTGGTATTGATGTTGGAGAGCGAAAATGCAAATTTGCCCATGCCAAAACAGCCTACGTTTACTTCATTGAGAAGATCTCTAGACGTGGATGATATGTGGAATGAAATTCATGATGTTGTAACCTCAAACAATGTAACCCTTAGTGCAATCCTTGGCAGATAATTTTCATCTCAGTGCTGCTTCAGTTTTACATTTGCAGCAGCCAGCAGCATCTTTACACCGTTAACAGACATATTTTGAGAACATTTTGCCATGTGTTGTTTGGTAATTATCAGTGCCAAAGGTCAGGACACGCCATACTCTCTCTGCAGTCTGTCATGGTGATGAGCAGGGCCTCCTAATGAATCCTGCAACCTGAATAATTGAAGTTATGATTCAAGCTCATAGGACTATTTCCTTCAGAAAATGAAAAAAAAAAAAATTTTTTTTTTTTTTTTTGGTCTTATGCTACAGCATAATTTGGCTTCCTCGACAGCAACACTTCTATTAACAGCAGAGAAAATTCTGATTGGGAGGGGTATTGGGGGCAATTACCATACAAATGCGCATCATTAAATACTTCGGAAATCAGGCTTTACTCAGAATAAGAGCTGATGATCAAGGAGGAGGAGAAAAACTTCCAAACCATAATATCATGCTTTTACCTAAATCGGTTAGCAAAGAAAAAGAAATCAATTCTCTGAGGGCACAGTGGCAGATGACACATTGATTGATGTTGTTGTATTGAACTGCTCCTAAGAGTTGTAATCAACAACCTTAAGGACCCTGAATTACTTTAAATGTTGTAGAAGTTTGACGAAGTAGCTATTAACTAGCGTGCATCACCAGAACTGATTGTTCTTAAGGTTTCAAAGTGATTCATATGACTCCTTTGTTCTTAATTTTATGAACAGACAAAATTCAACGAAAAGCAGCCACCTTAACGGTGGCAGAGCCGCACTGCGTTGAGGGTGGCCAATCCCCCACTCCTCAACTTTACAAAATTTAAAATATAGCCTCAAAACTATTACAAATTCTTATGTTTTTTGTTTATCATAATTACAACCCCTTAATTTTGGATAATATCCTTTTCTCTTTACATTGCCTCACTGTATGATAAGAAATCCTCATTCTCGTCGCATGGTCTCCCTAAACAACCAATTTCTTTTAGACATTCTCTTTTACGGTACAAATCATTTAAAGCTATTAAAAAACAAAATTAATTACTACTCGAATAAGAAATAACTTCAATACTTTTACAACACAAAAAAGCTCATAATAATACATAAGTTTTAATCAAAATTTTCTTTGCACAATAATAACATCATGTTAGGTGTATAATACTATCTCCACTAGCCATAGGTCCTGGTTTCACCAATACTCCTTAACATCTTTAGTTGAAATGTTACTTTTACTCTTACTTTAGTTTATATATATATATATATATATATATATATATTACTATTACTTTAGTACTAAATTTAATGAAGAGCTAATCACTTTGTGTAGACACCAAAATTTAATTATTTATTTAATTATTTTTATTTTTAGTAAAATCATTTTTCTTTTGTTTTGTTTGGAAAATGAAGAAAAAAATATATGAAAATTTCAAAATTAGAAAAATAGTAGAGGTTCTTTTGTTTTAACCCAACCCAATTCCCCCCAAATCCAAACAAAACCCAAGCCAAAAGTTAAACAAAGCCCAAGCAAAAACTTCATAAAAACCCAAACAAAACCAACAAAAAGCCTGGAAGAAAAAGAAAACAAAAAGAGGCCCATCAGCCTATTTCTTTGCTTTTCTTAAAAAAAATAAAAAATAAAAATTCTCACGCAGCAACGAGGAAGGCTGATTTTCCTCTTGCATTTCCTTTGTTTTTCCTCCATTTCAGCATCAAACCAGCAACGAGGAAGGCTGGATTTTTGTTTTTTCTTTGGCAACCAAAATTCGTTTTGGCTTCTTATTTTCTTTCCCTCCAAGTTTAGCAAATACTTGGACACCTAATCAGCCACAATCTCTCAAGCAACAGCTGGCAAAACAAGATCAAATGGACCAAATATGGCCACAAAACCCTGGTTTCATCTCAACTATTATTCTTAGGGTTTTAATAGGTTTTATTTCATTTAAAAGGCTAAGGGAGAGTATTTAGGGAGGGGGAGAGGAAAAAGAAAAAATTTAGCAGCCATAGGATCTAGGAGAGAGGAAAAAGCAAGAAAAAAAAAAAAGAAAAATTTTCGCCTGCAAAAATTCTGGAAAAAAGCTGGTGAACAAGCCGTGTTTGGAGGGGCTTTTCTCCTTCGTTATAGATCTGATTTGAGTGATTTTTCTTTCTGAACTTTGGTGAAACGGAGGGAAATAACTTTTGTGTTGAAAGGTTTCGCTAAAAATCATCCTAAACCCTTCAAATCTCGGCCCAAACTTCGCTCATCAAAACATTTTTCTGCAAAAATTGAGCCAGGGCTGACCAAACAGCCCAGTTCGTCTGCACTTTCTGAATTCATCTGGCCTCTGTTTGGCGAATTCCTTGTTGTTTCATCATCTAAGATTGAAGTAACGAAAATTTTATTTTGAACATTCCCTGAAAAAGTATCTGAAACCCCTCGAAATTGAGCTTGAAATTGCATCTTCATCAGCACTTGGACCACTGCAGCAAGAACTTGCTTGGTTCATTTTCCGCATTTGGGAGCTCTTTTTTTGAGTTTCTCCACGTTGGTTCGAGTCCTCAAACATATTTAGGTAATTATAACCCTTTCTCTCAGTGGATCTAACTTTTTTAATGAGATTTTAAGCCATTACATGAGTTTTTATGAGTTTTGTGCCTTAGATCTCATTTTTCTCATGATTTATAGTGTTCGATGGTCATGTTTGATATTCAAATCAATTCATGAGATCATGGAAAGCATGTATATGAAAATATCCGGTCTCAAAAGTTAGAAAAAATGACTTCCGGCGACATACCGGCAATTTTGGCCGGCAGTTTTCCAGTTTCCGGCAGTTGAAAGCCGGAATATTCATACTAGCCGGAAAATTCTTGATATTTTCTCTTCTATTTTTGCTCCAATTATTTTTTTTTGTCCTATTATGTTTGATCCAATAGGATGTAAAATTGGGTATGATGTTGGGTTTGGAAAACGGGCCAAGACTTATTTTTGTTTGGATTTGCATATGGGTTATGATGCTTAGGCCCAACATTTCTTTTGTTGGATTTGGTTTTAAAAAATGATGGGCGGGTACTTTTTCTATCTTGGGCCCAAGAGATTGTTAGCGCAAAATAAAACAAAAATGGCCCAATAATGTTTTCTTAAGATATCAGAAGCGAAATTTTACAATCAGGCCCCTTCTCTTTTGAGTAATTTTATTTTGACCCTATAATTGTTGAATTCCTTTCACATAGGTCCTTATTTTAATGTCATTTTGGTCCCTAAACTTTATCTTTTATGCAATTTTGATTCTTTTTTCAAAAATCATAAATTTACCCAAATACTTTTCAAAATTTGCAATTAGGTCTCTAATGGTTTTGATTTCTCAAGTATGATTGTTTATCTTCTTTAATTGTTAATCATGCTTTGTTTAAATGCATTTAATGAGTAAATTTTAGGGATTTTATGTTCATTCATATTTCTTTGAAATAAATAAAGTGAATTTGCTATATTATTTACATTTTCTTTTAAATTGTTAATTAAATTAATTCATTGACTATTTTATTGGTTTTGGAATATAAATAGGATAAATTCTACCTCATTTAATCACTATTTCAAGAGAGGTCCTATTATTATTTTATATTTTTTATGTGCTCCTATGTATTTTTCTATGTGTGATTGCATGTTTTGAATGCTATTTCTTTTATTTACTCATTTTATCCATTAAGTTTCATTTTTTTAAATTTTTGACGATTATTTGGGAGGCATTTAAATGCCAATTTGTAATAAATAGGTGTCCAAGAAATGTATTTAGTTAAACCATGTAATAGATAGATATTATTTTTGTCAAAAAAATAATTAGTTAGATAAATATAATAGATATGTTTATTATTTCCAAAAATTTCCCTTTGTAATTTGGATTCTTATTGTAATAGTTAGTTTTTATTTAGGGAAAATCATTCAAAACGTCCCTCAAATTTTACAAGATGATTTTTTTCGTCCCTCACTTTTAAAAGTATAATTTTACGTCTCTTACAAATTCATATTGATCAAATTTGGTCCCTACCTAAGTTTCCAACTAGTTTTTGCCGGAATCCACTACGTGACTTGCATGTGATCATTTTTAAGAGCATAATTGTCAAATCAAATTGTTACATAATCTGATTCATAGTCCCTCACATTTCACAAAATGAATTTTTTCATTCCTAACACTTTACAAAATGAGTTGCTTCGTTCCTCACATTTCAAAAAATGAATTTTTCCATCCCTCATATTTTTAAAATGAATTTTTTCATCCCTCATTGATCATGTATACGAATGGTTTTTTTTTCCTATAAATCTACATATATGTCTATTTGATTTTACCTAAACAGTATGAATAACATGTAATTTATCTCCATTGGATTTTATCTAAACATGCTAATCGTAGTTATACACATGCTATTCAATAGATATATATATATATATATATATATATATATATATATATAGGGGTTTTAAACTAATAATTTTGTTTGAAACCCATGTATATATTTATATGATTTCACCATTTGAAGCTATTCAATATTTGTGACATTTCTCTTTTGATAATAATTTATTTATTGAGTTGTATAATAAGGTCATCTAATTAATGGGTCCTAACTCGAATTTTATAATTGTGCTAACAAATTTCAGTTTAAATCTGAAATTTCTATTCGACACTTTTAAAACCAACAGTTGAATTACTTGCCTTGTGATTGTGTTAAAATTTGAAAGTGTCAATCACTTATTTCTTTTTGTCATACTTGTCTTTTGTTTACTTTTTCTATCCAAATTTAATTCGATATAAACACTTGATAATATTTAGGATTAAATGTATTCTTTATTTTCAAATTTCGAATAAAAGAAAATGAATATAAGTGAAAAACTAACAATTTTTTAAAACCGATGTATATATCTATTTCATTTCACTTGATCAATACGAATAGTGTGTAATATATCTCTATTGGGTTAAATATCAAAAACCCCCCATGTGATTTGACTAATGTTCACTTTACCTCCTTGTGGTTTGGAAACTTACAATTTAACTCCTTGTCATTTCAACTAAAATGAAAGTCTAATAGAAAACATCTACAATAATGGTATTTCTGTCAGACTTTCACTTTAGGTGAAATAACAGGGAGTTAAATTGTAAGTTTTCAAACCGTAGGAAAGTAAAGTGTACAT